TCTGGAGGACAATGTCATCACACCTAGCTCACCACGCCCCTCGCTTCTTCTGTTGCTTTTGTTTTTGTTGTTGTTGTTGTTGTTGTTGTTGTTGTTGTGTTGTCGTTGTCGTCATGTGAGGGTGGGGCGCGGGGGTAACACTTTTTACCGATAATATGCGCGTATAGTAATATAGCACGAAAGAGGAGGCTCGCTGCGCGCGCGCCGACCTGGGCAAAGTTTAGTGCCCGCGAGCCTGATAACTTTCCTAGCCGTCATGTTCCATGGTCGTAAATAAGGTCACAAATGTCGTCCTCGCCCTCCCCCCTTTCCCCCACATCCCCGCGGAGAGGCGCGCAGCGGGCACATATGGGCGCTGAAGAAAGTGTAGAGGCGGAGCGGGTAAACAAGTGTGCCTGCCGGGCCTGCCCGGCCTGCATGCAGAGCGACACTGCTGTTAGCGAGAACGCGCTTTGGACGCGCGGCCCGGAATGGCCAATGGCAGCCAATGGCCGGGAGGGTCGGGCTGTCGGGCTGCCGATGACGCGCGATGCGCGGGCCATTCAAAGGCATCGAGCGGAGGCCAGGGAACCTGAGGGAACCGACAGGGAACCCAGCGCCGGAAATATATTTGTTCAACTTTTCTCTGGGCTTCCGCGATGCGGCGCCGCCGCTCTGCCGGTGTGCTGGCCGTGCTGGCGGTGCTGGCGCAGGGCGGGGAAGGCCCTTCCCGCCCTTTCCTGCTGTCTCTCTCAGTTCTTCTTTGTGCTTTGCTGAGAAATGCCGCGGGGAGGGGAATGGAGGCGGGGGTGGGGGCGAAAGTTTGGTCGGGGCTCACACTTTGACACTTGCGGTGTTCCGGCCAAAGCGGCCAAAGCGGGCCGCGCGCATCTAAGCTCCTCGCTTCCGGTGTGTCTGCGTGTCCAACGCGAACTAGGCCCTGTCCAATTACTGGCTCCGACTTGTCTACGGTGACTGGCTAGGCCTGGCTAGGCCGCGGTGCGGGCGGTGCGGCCCGGCTGCCGGGAGCGCCGTGCGGGCGGGCAAGGCGGCGGCACGGGTGTCGGCGTGGGGCCTACCCGCCAGGCGCTCTGCGGCCCGCCGCGCCGACCCGCTGCAGGCTGCTGCCAGGCCGGCCAGCACAGCGGTTCGCCGCTCTGCCTCTCTCGCACCCCTACGTGCCGCCCCATGGGCGCGACAGAGACAGCGCGACGAAAACGACTCTTGTGAATCAGTCTGCAGGCGAGGGCAAGGGCAAGGGCCGTGGGCCTCGCTCTTTTCCCTTTTATTGCCGCGCATTAAAGCCCTTCGGACCTTCGGCCTGCGACGCCCCGCCCCGCCGCGCCCGGCCGCACCGCGCTGCCCCCGGCAATGCCTCGCCAATCCCAGATAAGCCAACAGCAATTGTAATATTTTAAATTGCAGCCTCGTTTAGGGGCAGGCCCGGGCAAGCCCCCCGCTCGGGACTGTTGCGCAAGTTATTATTGCGCGTGGGATTTTACTGTGTTTTTCATTAAATTTCTCCCCGGCCGGCGCGCATCGCGGTGAACCTAACCCGGCCTTGACCCGCGCACTGCTTGCTACTCCACTACACTGCCACACTGCATTCGCTCGCGGAACAGCAAACAGCGCCGCCAAAGTGTGCGCCTCCCCGCCGACGGCCGCGTCCCGCGTTTTCTCGGCCAAACTCGGAAAAAACGACTCGGCGGCGATCTCCATAATTCGCCCTTATAAAGTTGCCCGGCCGAATAATGTGTACGAAAAGTTTGGATTAAACAAACGCCGCGCGTGAATAATGCGAGTCTGTTGACGCGCTTTAGGGAGGCGCCCCGACCTTAGGCCGCCCCGGCACCGCTGCGGGTCTACCGCCGCCACCGCCACGACCGCCACCGCGGAGGCAGGGGGCAGGGGGCAGGGGGCAGGGGCCGCCCGACAACGCGCTCGACCGTCTTTCGCGCGCATTGACCGTGGTAACGAGAGGCGGGCACCGAGGCGGGCAGGGCGAGAGAGAGAGGGAGACGGGCAGAAAGAGAGAGAGGCCCTGTGGCGCCAAGCCGTGGCGTCCCCGTCCCCGCCCAGCGCCGCCCAGGCAAAGGCACTAGCTGATAGCCATCGCGGCACACGACCTCAGACCCACCGCCACGGGCACCCCGCCGCCCCGCCGCCACGACAGCTGTAGTCTGAGTCCGAACCGCGCTTCGTCGTGCCTGTCTCTCTCGCACGCGCACGGGACGCCCCATGAGTGCGACAGAGAGCGCGACCGAAACTCTGTTCGGAATGAGCCGCTTTGCAGGCCGGGGCCGAGCTCTAGGCCGAGCCTCGGGCCATGGGGGCGTGTGCGAAAGTGCGAAAGTTACTGCCGCTCTGTGTTCGAGCCGCGGCCTCCGGAACCTCTTGCAGCGCACGCCCGGACGGGAAAAAATAACGAAAAACAATAAAAAGTGACGGAGTAGAATAACTGTTCCCCGACTCCAAGCATGCCGTGTCTAAGTGTTTGAGGGCGGCCGGGTCGGGGCGGAGTCGAGCCCTCAGGCCACTCGGAAGGTCTCCCGCCATGTTTCAAGATGAAAGTGATGGCAGGGGAAGGGAAGGGGCGGAGGTATTGATAGGTTGGCTAACAGGGCTGCACGGCGATGGATGGATGGATAGATAGATAGATTTCTGCAGAGCGCGGCGGAGGGAATGGCGAGGAAAATATTAGTCTATCGCTTCCGAATCCGGCAGTAATTGTCGCTCCCTTTCTCCCGGGCGAGCGCCTATATCTCTCTCTTTCTCTCTCCCTCTTCCCGAGCCGCCGCGCCGGGCGCCGGGCCCCTTTGTGCGTCGTGAGGAAAAGGCAGGCCTCTCGAGCAGCAACCCGGCAACCCTCCCTCCACTGCGAGGGCCTTTGGTTGCCCCTACTTCAGTAAGTAAGACGGGGGCTCGGCACAAAAACCTTGTTCAATATTTCACTCCGGCCGTGCCCCGCTGGCCCCGCTGGCCCCGCTGGCCGGGCGACGCTTCAGCCTGCTTCAGCCTTCAGGGTGCCCACCGTGCCTGGCCGTGCCGTGCCGCGAGGGCTGGAAGGCTGCGAACCTCGGGGAATGAGTGGAGTGGGCGGAATGAAGCGCGGGGACGGCGCGCCACCGGCCACCGCGCAGACATAGAGCTATGTAGACCCCTCGCCCAGACAGACGTCGCGCATCGCGCCTCGTGCAACATTCATGGCGACACGCTCGACCCCTCCCCACCCCTCCCCAACCCGCGCCCACTTTCTGCAACGTGTCGTCATTGTCACGGCCTGGCGCCTCGAGGTTTCCGCATCCATCTTGTGATTACCCCCACTCGCCTCCTTCCCCCTCTTCCCCTCCCCCCTCCCCCCTTCGCCTCGACACCCCCCGTTTCTCGGCACACGTTCCAAAACAAAACCCAGCAACAGGCAAAAGAGTGTCTTCGGCGCCAAGTGGTCTGGCGTCGTCGCCTTTCGCCGCCCCCTCCCCCTTCCAGTCCCTTCCAGTCCCTCCAGAGGGGCACTGCTGCAGCCCTTCAGCCCTTGGGGGGGGCGCGTGCCCTTTGACGGGGTCCTGGGCGGTGAGGGTCCTGCCTGCAGGGCGCTGCGGCGCGAGGATGAGAGACACTTGCACTTTTTCCCTTCGCGGACGAGGACCGCGGCCGCCGCCCGAAGTGCCGTCGATACCCCGTGCGCGCGACAGTCTCCCAGTGTGGCAGCTTTTCGGACGAAAGAGGGGTGTCGGTATCGGCACGGCAGCGCCGCGGTTTCCCCTGGTTTCCCTTTGTGGCCGCCCGCCTCCACTGTATAAATAGTGCCGCTGATGTTGTTCCGGTGGATGGAGGGTGCGGCGCGCACTCTCAGCGGCAGTGAGGACGCCGGGCGGGCGGGGCGGGCTGGCTGAATGGTGACGGGCTCGACGGGCACCGCCTCGGTGAATGATAGATGTAGGCTTGATGACACGGAGGCGCGGCGAGGCGCGGCGAGGCTCGACGGCGGCCTCGGCCCGGACGTGCTCACGGCGGGAAACGCATTCAAACGGGAGAAGGGGCGGCGCCGAGGAAGTCCCTCCTTTTGTCCAGGCCGTCCGCGGCCTTGTCCGCAGCGCCCCTCTCGACTTCGCGAAGGGTCTCCGTCTGGGCCTCCGGAATGCACTGCAACTGCACTGTATGGCGGGCCGCGGCTTGGGCCAGCACCGCGCGGCAGGACCCGACATCTCAGCAGGGCTGCGCGACGGCGGGGGCGGCGGGGGTCCCTCTCTGAGCCCCGCTCGGCCCTCGGCCGACGACGGCCACAACTTAACTCTCTTTGTGGGGGGTCTTCCGCCGTCTGCCTCCATCGCACGCCACGCCGCCGGATGCCTCTCGTCGCACACGCGACCCGGCCAGACACGGAACACGCGCCAGCACTGCTTTCATCGCTCTGTCTCTCTCGCACTCATGGGGCGGTCCGTGGGTGCGAGACAGGCAGAGTGACGAAGCTGTGTTCGGAATCAGCCGGCTGTCGTGGATTTACACCCGCTGTGCGACAAAAAACGGCAGCAAAAAACACACACAGGCCGTCCCGAATTCGCAGCCCCGCCCCGTCCCACCCGACAACGTTCGAGCTCTGTTGGCGCGTATTGCCGCCTGCGCAGCACTGTCGGGCTAATCACGCTTAACAGCGCGAGTCTGTCTGAGTCTGTCACGCACAGGGCTGTGGTGTTGAGGGGGCGGGGACGGCCCGACTAAGTGGCTGCGGTGCGCAGTTGTGCCACGGGGCGGGGCGGGGCGGAGCGGGGCGGGGCGGGGCGGTGCGGGAGGGTTGACACTATCGTCGAATTGGATGGGGATTACCGCGACCGCCTCTCCAGGAGGCCCTCCAGCACGACAACAACGGCGAGACAGGAAAATAAGCCAGGTGAACCTCCCATGCGCTGCCGCCATAGTCATCACCGTCGTCTTCGTCGTCACCGCCGTGGTTGTTGTTGTTGTTGTTGTTTGAAGTCGTCGCTCCTGATTACTGATGCTTTTCGTTGTTTTTGTTGTTGCAGACGTGAACCGAAGCGGCACCATCGAGAAGAAGGACTTCGAAATCGCGGTGGAGGTGGGTGCCGGCACTGCCGGTTGAAGTACAAGTAGGGCCTGACGGCGGATGGGCGGACGTAGACGCACGGTGACGCTCTCTGTTGCAGCGCATCTGCGAGGTGCGCAACTGGCCGTCCGGGACCCCGGAGGCGGACAGGACCAAGGACATCCTGATGAGCGTCTGGGAGGGCCTGCGCACGCGCGCCGACAGCAACCAGGACGGCCAGGTCAGTGCTCTGTGCGCGCCAGGCCGGCGACGCGTCCCTCGTTTTCCGAAACGCCGAAACCAAATAAATTGTCATTTGTTGGATCGGCGTGCCTGCAGGTGTCGCACGAGGAGTGGATCGCCATGTGGGACGACTACGCCAAGAACGCCGAGCAGCCCGCGGACTGGCACCGCCGCTACATGGAGTTCATGTTCGACGTGGAGGACACGTCAGGTGGGTCTCGGCCGGTCTCGGCCGGTCTCCGCGCTCCCCCCTCCACAGTGGGCCAGAAGACCGGTGGAGGCGGCCAAAACTCGAGACGCGTTTTGAGCTCCAGAGTCGCTATATGGGGCTCGAACCGAACGTGTGACCCCACCAAATGGATTCCTCGTTCGGAGAGCAATCCATTGGTGGGGTCACACGTCCGGTTCGAGTCCCATTTAGCGACTCTGGAGCTCAAAACGCCTCTAGAGTTTTGGCCGCCTCCACCGGTCTTCTGGCCCTCTGTGCCTCCCCTCCCCCTCCGCGGTACTGCGTGACCCGTGGCACCGAGGGGTCTGCTGAGGGGCCGACTCGCCGCCTCGGCCCGTGAAGCGTGAGGGCCCTCGTTAAATCGACGCGGCTTGAAGTCCGAATGGCTGGCCGGGCTGGCCGGGCTGGCCGACACCGAGGGCTAGCGCTGCCGCCCTGCCCACCGCGCCGCGCCTTGGCTTTGGCACTGCCTGACGATGCCGGAATAAAGGCCAGCTGCTTTTGCTTTGCGTCTGTCGGCCCGTCTCGGCCGTGCCGCAGGCCGCAACAAGCCTCGCCCCTGTCGGTGCCGTCAGCTCGCCTCGGCGCCATCGGCATTAGAGTAAATGGGGGTCTCGACGAGCGGCGCGTCGTCCGTCCCGCAGGGAGCACGGCCCGGCGCGGCCACGCCGCGGGGGGCTGCCTCCCCGCCCCGCCGAGGAGGCCCACTGCGAAGAAAGGATCCCCGCCTAATCTCTTAATTAATCAGGACACCTTGTGTGCCATAAAACGGACGGTGCTCGAGAACGCTCGGCCCACCACCGCCGGCCGCGCGGCTCGGCTAGAGCCGGGCTAGAAAAAGCCTGTGTGTGTGCCTGTGTGTGTGCCTGTGTGTGTGCCTGTGTGTGTGTGTGTGCCTGTGTGTGTGTGCCTGTGTGTGTGCCTGTGTGTGTGCCTGTGTGTGTGCCTGTGTGTGAGAGAAGCGCGTGAAGACGTGACGCTGCATCGGGGTTGCTCGGATTATGCCGGGCTGAGCGGGTAGTCGGGCTGAGACGGTGGCCCCCTTGGCGCGGTGCGGCGGCATGCCCCTTTGCCCGCCTCTCGCCACCCCGGCCGTTGCGTGCGCGGTGCTGGCCTCGGTGCTGGCGGTGCTGCTCCGGAGTGCTCGTGCACGGCCAGGGTGCGAGGGCGCCGCGGTGTTACGGTGTCGTGGCCGTCGTGCCTGTCTTGCCGGGGCTGCGCGCTGCGCCGCACGGCACTCGCCAAGTCCTTGATAACATCGCGTACTCGCTCCTCGGAGGGCAGCGCGAAGCAGCGGCACGTCGTCGGCGACCGTGGGCGCAAAGATTTTGCAATGCCCCCTTCTTTTGTGAGGCCCGCGCGGCCCCGGCGGAACCGGAAATTCGCTCAGAAGTTGTTCCGTTTGTCTTTGCGTCCCTTCCGCTGGAAAAAGGGAGAATGGACTGCCGGGCCGAGGTCCTGGCCGAGGCCGAGACGCGCGTACGCAGCCGTAATGAAGCCCTAATGAGTGCCCGGTGACCGCGAGGCCGAGGCCGTTTAGGCGACGGGGCGGGCCGGAGGCCTTTGTCGCGCCAAGTTCGCGTCGTCGGCTCCGGCCCTACCCCCATGGTGCGCCGGCTGGGCCGTGCGGGCAGGAGCAGCCTGGAGCAGCCTGGAGCCAGACGGAAGCGCCTGACAAACTCCCTGAATCGAGCCACTGTAAGGCCGTCTGTACGCCATAACCTCCCCTCTCTGCTTATCTCGCTCTGGCGGACCTGGGCGCACCCCCGCCGCGCCCCGCCGCACCCCGCCCCGCCCCGTGGGACCGCGCGCATCTGCCCCTGGGAGCCCCACCGTAGCCAAACCCCCGTGGTTCGGGTCCGGGCCCCGGCGGCACGCCCCTGCTGCCCTGCTGCCCTGCTGCCGCCCCGCCCCGCCTGGAGCATGCCGTGAGGCAGGACGGGCAGGACGAGCAGAACGGCCCCGGTCGTCTCCGGCCGCATTACTTATTTACCGAGTTGCATCAACTCCATTGTGTCCCCCGGGCTTGCTCTGTGCTGCTTCCTTTCCCCACCCCACTTCCCCCCTCCCCCTCCTCGCTCCAGTCACGTGCCCGCCGTCGCGCGTCACGCGCCAGCACGCGCCAGCGCCGTCAAACCCGCATGGCGTGCGGCGTGCTCGGCGGCGTGCGTGGCGCTGCTCGCGGGAAGCAGTAGTTTTTGCATCGGGGTTGGCGCGAGGCTAGGCGCTGCCATCATCAGGGGCAGTAAAAATGGCTCACGTGAGTGACAACGCGGCGAGTTGACGAGAGTGCGCGTCGTGCACGTTCCCACGACTCGCGTCTCGTGGAGGGGCAAGGCTATGGCGCTCCATGGCACTGAGGGTGTGTGCGTGTGAGCGTGTGTGGGTGTGTACACTCGGTCCCTTCCGTCTGCCCCGGCCCTGCTCCAGCCCTGGTCTCTCCTTTGTGCCGTGAGCGGCTTGATTGGAGCAGCGGGCGAGGGCGAACACCGAGTTGGACACGGTGCAGGCACGGTGCAGCCGTCTGACAGAGAGTCTTCGGCGGCCGATCCCAACCAATCACAACGGCATGTGTTGTTCCTGAAGGCCACGTGTGCCGTATGCTGGGCCTGCCGCCCAAGGAGAACAAAAACGTCCAAATTATGTCAATATGACCTCAAAATGAACCATCTTTGGTCAAAATTTGGTCCATTTTGATGTCCAAATGACATCATTTGATGTCAGTTTGATTTTATTTTGACTACCTGTTCTCCTTGGGCGAGGACCCGCCGCTCAGTTTGCCTCAGGCGAAAACTTCCACGATGCTCCAGTGTCGAAATAGGAAGCCAAATTTTCGCTGGGAACACTGCCGCGCTGAACGCTGCCGCGCTGAACACTGCCGCGCTGCACGGGGGCCGCCCGGCACGTAGGCAACACTGGCCATTGAGGGCGGCTGTGCGCGGCGTGTTGCCTACCCTCGCCTTCGCAGGCGCTCCGCTGGGCTGCGCGGCGCTGGGCGCGCACGGCCGCGTCCGCAAAGCTCTGCTTATTGGTCGTGGCTCCGAATGTGTGCAGTGGGTCAGGCCCGCCTGGCGGCGCTGCGGAGGCCGCTAAGCCCGTATTGAAATGCAGGAGCACCACCACTCCGCCACGGCGGCGCGGCGACTAAGGCGACCTCGATATTCGATCGCCACGGCGTATTTTTATGCGCCTCACCCACCCTGAAAAACAAGCGGGAAAAAATGAAGCCATAGTGAAATGCTGTGTTTGTGTGTGCGTGCAGGAGACGGGAGCATCGACGTGGAAGAGTTCACCCAGGTGTGCACGTGCTTCGGGGCCACCAAGGCCGAATGCGAGCAGGCCTTCCAGCGCTTCTCCCAGGTAACAAAGGCACAAAAGGCTGCGCTTCGCTCGCCGGCCGTCTTGGGCGTGGACACTGCTAATCTCGTTGCCGTGATTGCAGAACAACTCGGTGCTGGTGACGAGGGACGTGTTCGCCGAGCTGTGGAAGGAGTACTTCGTGTCGGAGGACCCGAACGCGGGCGGCAACTGCATCTTCGGGAAGCCCAACATCAACTAGGCGGCTCCGGGCGGCAGCGGGCCGCACAGCCCTCGCCGCGCCGGGCCAGCCAGCACACTGCCAAAAGGCGTCGCCATTCGAGGAGAAGCGCCACAACAGGACGGCGGGAGGACGCCACGCGAAGAGAAACTATTTTTCACCAAGTTTAGAGTGTATCGTCAAATGACGACTCCCATTTTTGCAGTGTGCTAGCGCCCGGTCACGGCGGAAGGGAGGAGGGGTGGAGATCTTGGCAGCACTGTAAAGGTTGATCGCTATGATTTGGATGGTTAACAAATTCCTCTTTATTTTCCTTAATGTAATGTACTACGTTGTGAATTGAGTAAATGTGCGAATAACATGCCATCTTCCGAAGGCAGCTCACAGTCAAGTTGCGCCACAGCTTTTCACCAACACCATTTCGGCAAAATGAAAATGAAGGCTCTGCAAGCTCCACCCCGGTCTGTGCGTAGATGACATTCATTCTTGTTCATTGTTGTTGTGTTCGAGCGCGTCGTCGTCACGCGCCGCGCCTTCTCGAGTGTTCCTTCCAGAAGCATCGTTACAGTGAGGATAGGCCAGACGATCACGGCGTTTTAAGTACGTTGGGCGTTACTGAGGTTTCGTTAGTTCAGCGCAGAAGGTGGCGCAGTTTCTCGAAGGAATGATGGAAATAAGAAGAACTTTATCCGTTTAACAAAGATTTGTTTTCGGGCCAACAAAAATCATTACGTGAAGTGGACGTCAATTGTGTGAACAGTGGTGCGTAAATGCGTCACCTTCTTTTCAAATCGAACTTACGTCTTTTAAAATATTTTAAAATAGTGATTAAATTAAAACCAGCTGGATCAATAAAAATACACAACTGAAAAGGAAAAAAGAACCAATTTATTTAGCCTTCAGAAAGCGCACGCAGAAAGGTTTCGCGTAGCTGAGAAAACAGACTGAAACCTCAAAGTAAAATCTGATGCTTGTTAAACGTTCAAATGAAACGCTTCAAACCTTCAAAAGAATCAGTATTTGTTAGAGTCCGTGTCAACCGATTCCCATACATCAAGAGAAACTGTCCGATTCATTCACTCCCTGTATGACAAAAAAGAATGCTCGAGGTAGCATAGAACATAACTCAACTAGCTAATCTATTTCTCTTTCCACTTCGATGTTTCAAAGATCCTGTATTCTTCTCGTTAGTCTTCTACTTCCATAGCAAAAAAATGTGTAGTGTAGCAATATGTACGTATCTCAAGTCACATTTCTGAACCTCAATTAAATCATATTTCGTAGCGGTTAGTTGAGTTCACAATTTTTATCCAAGAGAGTATATATCTACGTAATTAATGTGAACCCTTCAGATGTATGATGTTTGTTCTGCTGCGTGCTGGAGACCACCTGGAACAAAATACAGGACAGACAAAAACGTGAGTTGTAATCATTTTGTGAGCCCTTCGTCACCCACTCACTCGCGCAATCGCCCGGCGCTGAGCTGAGATACTGCATGCGACTACTTCCTCTTCGCCGGCGCTCCCCCGGCCCGGCCTTCCCCGCAGGCACTGCAGGCACTGCAGGCAGGCCGATGCCGGGCAGTATCAAGCCGGCCGCCGCGCCGCACGCCGCAGGACCCACAGACGCACAGGACAGCGCCCTGTACCCGGAATGTATGGTCAGTACGCTCAATCAAGTGCCATATTTTCAAAGGAATGAAATTCTCGGAACCTTCAGCGTTAAAAATTGAATGTTTTGATTCGTGCACTCAGTTTTTGCAAACTGGCGTAACTGACAGAGAGAAAAGTCGAGCGGGTTTGTTGATCAACACATCTGTATCTCGACACAATACAGATGTGGGATATTTGTATGGACTCTTAGATTCACAGTGTCGCAACACCATGGCGACAACGACCGGAAGATTTCAAGAATTCACAGTCCCTCGGAGGCACGCCCCTCTGCCGAGACTGAGAAACGGACAGGCGAAGCGACTTGGGGAGCGGACGGGCGGACGGGCGCCCCGGGCAAACTCCGCTCTGCCAGACTCGATTCATAATTAGACAGCAGGAAGATGGGAATGTGATTAAAGCCCCTTTTCAAGGGCTGTGCGCCGACGTAGCGCCGACGACGACAACGGCCCTCCGGTCTGCACCAACGCTTCGACGGCATCGGACGAGAGGAGGGTTGGAGGGGAAGGCTTCTGTCGAGCGCTCCCCTCCCCCTCCCCTCCGCTCCCGAGCCCCGCAGCTCGGCCTGCTTCTGCTCCGGCCGACCATGAGACCCAAGGAGCGGCCCATAAGCGCACGCCCTGGGACTCTGGGACCGCTGGAATGGGAATATGGGAATACGGTAGGCGTAGACGCGGGCCGCGTCCGGAGTGAGCGGGCCGGATTACGCCGCGCTGCTCGCACAACCCGGCCGAACCAAACACGCGCCGCACTCCCGCGCTCTCCGCACGCAGCCATAATTAGGCTGAGCTCGCGAGGGGATAATTAGGGGTGGACTAGCGGGCTAGCAGGCTCGTAGTGCGGACGGGGAGCGGCCGACACGGCAGGCAGCCGAAGGTGGTATGGCGGGCACAGCCCTAAAGCCTAAACGGCCGCGAAACCGCGGAGCGTCTCGCCGAGGCCCGCGGTCCCCGCAGTGCGGCGCCATGGCAGCGGCGTTATCGAGGGTAAGATAAGGCTCGCACCGATGGGCGCGCGGATAGACGGACGGACAGGCAGACAGACTGGCAGACAGCGCGCCGTGGGACGTCCGCCCGGTGGGTAGGCAGCCCCTTCAACGACGAGTGGCACTGCGCTGACTGAGACAGCGCAACTCGTTGGCCCTTTCGTCCCAGTGACGCGTACATGTGGCGTCCAGGCGAACCGCACTTATGGTTCCCAGAACATGTGTACAAATTTTCATGCTAGTATCATAATACGCCAGATTGTTACGGTAACAGCCCGCCGCGACCGAGGTCGAGGCCGCGGAGGCCCGGTGGCCATGGCGATGGCCACGCCGTTCGTCCCCGCGCCGCAGTGGGTGCACTGCCACTTCGGCGAGGTGCCACCGCAGGCCGTGGACGCGGGCAACGACGTGAACGGCGAGAGGCTGTACGTGTGCCGCGCCTTCCACGAGGGCGACACCATCCCCGGCAAGCTGGTCGCCTCGCACCGCGGCGCCTACGTGAGCAGGGACGGCAAGGAGCACAAGAAGGACTACTACGAGGTGACGTGACGGTGTCGGAGGTCAGGGCTTGTTTCGTCTTCGCCCCTTGAGAGGGTTGCCCGTTGCTGACGCGACTCCCAACTCCCTGGTCGCGCAGGTCCTGGTGGGCGGACGGGTGTCCTGGGTGCGGGGCAGCAACGGCCAGGTCCCGGCCAACGCGCTCGTCGCCGGTAGGACCGTGCAGGGCGAGAACCTCTACGTGGGCAGGTTCCGCCACGCCGGCACCATGACGCCCGGCAAGGTAAGGCTGGTAAGGCCAGGGCAACGCGGCAACGCCCGCAGTCCCATGTTGTTTCTTAATGCTGCTGAGTACTTGTTCCAGGTTCATGTCAGTCATCGATGCTGCTACATCCCGTACGGCGGAAATGAGGTTTCCGCCACTAGCTATGAAGTATTGGTAGCTTAAAAGAACTTACAAATATCTAGAGCTGTTCCCGAATCCATTTTATTGTACGTACAAGTTTGAGAGTACCATTCAATGCGCTTCCAGTAAAAGACAGCATTTGTTTTGAACAAAAAAAAGGCAGTGACAAGGCAATGCTACAACACTGATTGTAAAAAATAAATTGAACCTGCAGATGCAGGAAGAAGAAAAAGAATTAACATCTCATGGAACAATTCTACTCAGACTATGGAATCAAACAAATTGTTTTACTTTAAAAACAGCCAGATTTAATTTTCAAATTAAGACTAGAACAATATCTTCAAATAAAAAAAAAAGTTTCATTGCAGGATCTTTACAGTATTAACTATAATAAATATTTTCAGCAGACAATTCAACTTAGATCATGACAAACATGACTACAGGATAAATGTTAACAACATATCTCGGTCATACTTGGCTCTGGAAAATTAAAATTCCTATATAAAACCTAGGCATTAAGAGTATTTCTTCCTCAGTTGGCATTGGTGAGAGCAGCAACTCCGGGCAGTGTCTTTCCTGCAACAACAAAATACATACATACATTTTTTTTAAATCACAAAAAAGAAACAGAAAATAAGGAGATGAAGATGGTAAGGCTTTGTACCCTCAAGAAGTTCCAAACTGGCACCACCACCAGTGCTGACATGGCTGACTTTAGACTCTGTGTTCCACTTGGCTGCACAAGTGGCAGTGTCACCACCTCCAATAATAGTGATGGTTCCTGCGGCAGTTGACTCAACCACAGTGTCCATGACAGCCTTTGTTGCCTTGGAGAAATTCTCAAATTCAAAGACGCCCATGGGTCTGTAGTTCAGAGAAAAGGTATATGAAATTAATAACAAAACAGAGAAAAGATGGTAGAGAAATAAATATGATGGATCACTTACCCATTCCATACAATAACCTTGGCTCTCTTGATGGGCTCCTTGAGCAGCTCAATAGTTTTGGGACCTGCATCCAGTCCCATCCACCCATCAGGGATACCCTCCTCCAAGGTTGCTGCTCCCACAGTAGCATCCTCGGCAAACTTGTCAGCAGTCACAAAGTCAACAGGCAAGTGAAGCTTTACATTGTTCTTCTCAGCCTTCTCAACAAGTTTCTTGACAATCTTGGCTCCCTCAGCATCATACAGAGAAGTACCAATCTGGACAGAGAGAGAGAATTTAAGTGAGAAATTGCACTAATTACAACATAGACAGAACTAAAATTGCTTCTAGTCTTACCTTCATTCCCTTCAACTCCTTCAAGAAGGTGTAAGCCATACCACCTCCGATGATCATCTCTGAAACTTTGTCCAGCAGATTTTCAATAAGCTGAATTTTGTCAGCAACCTTGGCACCACCCAAAATTGCAAGGAAGGGCCTGAAAAGAAAGGTTCAAATTTATTAATTAATTTTTAAATATGTTAGAAGAATAAGTATAGTGAAAGGTTCACTGCTATGGCTTACTTCTGCGGGTTGTCCAAAGCCTTGGCAAAGTACTGAAGTTCTTTTTTAAGCAGGAATCCAGAAGCACGCTGGTCAAAGCCATCTCCCATCATTGAACTATGGGCTCTGTGAGCAGTGCCGAAAGCATCGTTTACATAGACATCTCCAAGTTTGCGCAAAGATTCCCTGAATGCCTTGACAGCTTCAGGTGTAGCCTTAATCTGAAAGAGAGATAGGTTCACTAATTATTCCAAATTTATTCCTGATTGATTCCAGATAAAAGAACATGTACAAATAGCTCACTTTGTTTCCTGAAGCATCAACTCCCTTTCCTTCTTCTTCAACATGGAAACGCAGGTTCTCCAACAGAATAACAGAGCCCTTGGCAGGGTCAGCACAAGCCTTCTCTACATCGGGACCGACACAGTCGTCCAGGAATGTGACATCACTGTTCAAAATATTGAGACATCAAAGGGTGAGACACAAAATGTTTTATCACATGTAATAGGAATATATATTGGATAGAGGTGATACATACGTATTCAAAAGTTTCTTCAGTTCCTCAGCCACAGGTTTCATGGTGTACTTCAGGTTACGGCTCCCATCGGGACGACCCAAGTGTGACATGAGAACAACTGACTTAGCGTCTTTGCTAAGAGCATACTTGACAGTTTCAAGAGCAGCGACAATACGTTGGTTGTTGGTAATTTTGCCTTCCTTCAAAGGAACATTGAAGTCAACACTGAAAAGACAGAAACACTTTGTAGCATTACAAGGGCATTGTTACATCATGTCCTGCCAAAAATAAAGGAAGATTGTGACCAAGTTCTGGCCGACGAATTAAGTTTTTGACGAGGACGGTACGCCTGACGATCAACCTAAATTAAATTTATTTTGGAATCTACACCTTGACACAAGAACATAACCTGATTTGACAGGTGCAAGGGGTGTTAAAATCCACCAAATTTAGCTGTCACCTACCGGATGAGCACTCGCTTGCCAGCCAAGCTCAGGGCATCAATGCTCAGTTTGTTCAACGCCATTTCGCAAGTTTTAATTCAAGCGAAGTTGGAATTCAAATGGAGCTGTCTCGTCAAGCACACTGCTGCAGACGGAAAGGAAGACGAACAGACCTTGAAAAGGTCACGTTATACGTGACTACTTCACCCAAGCTAACTTCTTTTTCCCATATCTCAATAAGTTCTTTCTACTTTTGACAAGTATCAAAATATTTTTTCATGAGGTCAAATTGAAATGGTATGATTGATCAGGAAACACATATAATCTAATTCCGTGAAGTAGCTTTGAAAGCTTCGTTGATCCGAAGAGGGAAGTTCATTCGAGTACGCAGTTGATCAATGAGGGTGGGACGCGCGCTATTTCAAATCGGATCACATGGGGAGCATCGCCTTAGCATCGCTACAGGTAAATAGACTTTTATTTCTTAAAGTATTTTTATAAATATTTATTGATGTTTTTCGGTTTGGTGAATGGTTTAAAATATAACTTTCATCTGCTTCTAATTAGCGGGAAGGTACGATAGCGATGATGACGATGATCATGTCCTACGGACAAAAAGTGGTTTCTTCTTTGTTTTTAGAAAATAATTTACATTTTAGAAGCTGGTTCAACTGGAGCGCCTCCCTCAATCCCAAATCCACTCAAGCAGACGACAAGAGAGATGCATCCAAAACTGACCCCCCCCCCCTCTTTTTCCCATATCAAGGAGCTGAACGTTTGATTATTGCATCGTGTGCTCAATCTCTGCGGTACTAGCGAAAAATAAATTTCGAACTGCTACAATGTGGGTTAGACGTTCGATGCGAAGGGCGAGAGGGGTGAGTCGTTATGTAACCGACTTTGTAAACTGGGGCCATGGCCGACGGCCGATGTGACGTCTGCTAGCTAGTGCATTCGTCTGCTAGGCTAGGCTTTGTCCGGCCGGCCGCCGGCCCGCATCGCCCTCCCAGTGACTGTCAGTTACAGCGAGTGTGTCATTCGTGGCTTGTAGCTTGTTCGTACTCTTGGGACCACGTTTCTTTCATTATTTGCTAGTTGAGAGCGAACATACGACGGTAACTTAAACAAACTGAAGACCGTCGAAAGAAGACGGCGGCCCAGGTCACTCAAAGCGAGTTTGTTTATCTAACCTTTCCTATCTCCCGCACAGCCCGCACCTATCCCATCGCCTTGCCCTTCCCGGTGTCTGCGTCTGGATCTCAGTCCGGTCTTCGGCTGATAGATAAGGCAACACTTCATCGATGCCCGTGCTGCCCGTCCGCGCGACGATCAGGCTCGGGACGATCATGTACAGTAGACCGTAGGGGGATAACGATCCTGCGATCCGAACTTCGGTCTGCCGTCCGCCCGCAGGACTACTGCTGGCTGGCTGGCACCGCTCACCACCACTACTGTGTCATGTGTTATCTCACTTGGGTGTTCTGAAATCCCTATCAGTTTCACTTGGGATACCGAGTACTTTCTGCGGCGTCTGATATGTAACTACGTTTCCATTTGGAGTTGTGATAAGTTTGTTTATGCTCTCTGTGGCTGTGTGGTTCAAATTTCTTTTGCTGTTGCAGTGAAATGGAAAGCCATGAGAGAAAAAAGCATCATCAGGGGAGGGATTTGAGTTCCAAAACAACCTCTTCCAGGAACCCACGACCGAGGCGAAAAATATCATTCAATTCTCATCCCAAACCATATGCACGCAGTCTTTCGGTGTCAGCTCACCAGCTAAATCATTACCGCACTGATGAGGTGTTTGTCTACAACTAGTGTTTATGTAAAAATAACTATTCAATTAATTGCTCTATTGGTTGACATGTCTGTTTGCAGCCTTTTCAGTACCATTTTAAACGACCATCACAAGGCTCTGATGGCTCATCGATAAGAAACATCTCCTCCCAGCAGAAGCTTGTTCTTACCTCATTAGTACTAGTTGATTTTATAAGTTTCTGTTCTATGTCAATAATGGCTCCTTTTTTTCCCAAAGAGGTAAGGACGTTCAAAATATTTTCTCATGTGTGTATATGATTCTCTTACAACAAAAATAGTAACCTTTTCATTTTTCAATGTCAGGCTTCATTAAAGGGAATGAGTGAATCCTTGTCCGGATTAGTGTTTGGATTCTACGCTTTTATTATTTTTATCTCTTCGCCACTTTTTGGCAAGATTGTGAGTATGTAGTATGTTTTACCACCAAGGATATCAATAATGATCTTAATACTTAAATTTGTATTTTTGTTCTAAGCTTCCAGTTGTTGGAGCTAGATTTCTTTTTATGACAGGCATGTTCCTTTCTGGGTGCTGCTCTATTTTATTTGGGTACGTTTTAAGCAATCTTCACGCATTCAATTTAAGTTTTATTTATAGAATTAAAGTTATCTGATTAATTTTTCAGAGCTCTGGTACATATAGTTGACAATAGTACATTTGTTATATTTTGCTTTCTTGTCCGAGGAATGGAAGCAATTGGAGCAAGTGCCTTTACAACGGCTTCATATGTTTTTGTTGCTCAAATTTTCCCTGAAAACATTGGAGCAGTGATGGTAAGTCATATTACATGTAGAGTATTAGTTAAGGCAGCACCCACGATATTAATCAGAGCTTGCTGTTTCAGGGTATTTTAGAGACATTTGTAGGCTTGGGTATGAGCACAGGACCTGCCATTGGTGGACTTCTATACACGGTCAGTACGATATTTCTGTTTAAATTTAAGAATAAGTAATTTGAAACCTTGCACTAAGTTTTGTACCTTGTTCCTGCACTTAATTAATAGAACCTCACTGTTCTTTTGTGTTGTTGTAAAATTGGCAATCAGTAATGTGTCAGAACCAAATAACAATGCGTAAAAAAATCTAAAACACCTAAAAAATATTTCCAACATCAGATTTTACATATGACCTGACATGCAGGTTAAATGACTTGGTGAAGTAAATTTTTATGAGACTGCTGCAACAAGTTTCATTTGGAACATGTTTATTTTTCAATATTCTAATCAGTCTACAACTTGCTTTGCAATTGAAATAAATAATAAAAGTGTGACCTGCTTGGTTTTGACTCAGAAGCATGGCTTATTTTGTCTGATTTTCATTGCACTTAATTATACTGGTTTTCTTACTTGCCTATTATTTAGCTGGGAGGCTTTGGCTTACCATTTTACTCTCTTGGGGTTATTATGGTGATTTTTGTACCAATCAACTTCTGCTTGCTTCCAGCAGAATCTGGTGAGTAAGCTCAGCATATTATGGCTTTCTTTGTCTTTACACAAATACAGCACCATATAATTTTTGTTTTCTTGCTGCTTGTATAACATTCTTCAGATGTTTCTGTGAGCATGTTTTCTGGCTTTAATTTTTATGGGTTTACAGGCTTTGGAGTTGACCAGTCCAGTGGCTCCCTGTGGCAGTTGCTGAAAGTACCATCGGTGTTGGTCACGGGACTTGTGATTGTTGTTGGTTCTAACACATGGGGATTTCTCGACCCCACCCTGGAGCCTCATCTTCGCCAGGTGCCTTCTGTAGTAACTAGAGTTGCAGACTGTACGTATCCCACTGAAATGCTCTGTTAACTTATGCCTTTTATCTTTCTCTCCAGTTTAACTTGAGTGCTGATCAGTTGGGCCTAGTTTTCCTTCTCACATCTGGCCTTTATGCCGTGTTCAGTCCAGTGTGGGGACTGCTCTCTGACCGCGTGAACCATCACTGGAGTCTCATGGTAATAGGGCTCTTGATGTGTACAGTGGGGCTATTGCTGCTTGGGCCGTTCCCACTTTTTACATTTCTTCCAAACACAATCTGGTTGAACCTTCTTGCACTGTCTCTTCTGGGAGTCGCTATGGCTCTGACTTTACTACCAACTTTCCAAGCTCTTCTGGATTCCGCTGTGTAAGTGAATATACGTATCTGTATCATAAATAATAAATTTGGCTTGCAATTGACAAAGAAGGCACTTACTTCATTTTTTTTCATGATTTTAGTGAAGGTGGATGTGTAGATGAGCTGTCAACTCACAGTTTAGTAGCTGGTGTATGGTCATGCATGTATTCATTAGGGTGAGTTAATTTTGAAATTTTTTTCTGTAAATTGGTTTAATGTCATTCCCCAAATTTTTAAAATGAGATCTCTTCTTTTTTTTTAATGTAGGGAAGTTACTGGTCCTTTGTTTGGCGGATTCCTTCTGGAAGTATATGGATTTCCTACTTGTGCCTCTGCCATGGCTGGAGCAACATTTATAACGGTAAGCTCACTTTACCACCTCTGCCATATTCTTGATTGATGTGTTGTTTCCTCTAATTAATATTTCTTCCATTTGTTATCAGGCTGTTATCATTCTGATATTTTTTGTAACTCGAGACACTGTTGCACACCTAAAGAAAAAGGCTGATTCAAACGGCATGTGTGGTAGCAGAGACAGTGGTGTCAGTTCTGGTGGTGACCTGGGTGTTTTGTATGATGCTGATGAAGATGCTGCATTACTCTCAAGTGGCCGACAGTCGTACGGATCAACAAATCCATCTTTTCAGTACACCCAGGACAAACTTGATTATTATGCTGCTCTAAGCAAAGAGGAGGGTGAGGATGGAAGCAGGGATATTGATCAAGTGACAGATGTAAAGCGTACCATTGCCATGACTGCATCTGGGGCATGTGAGGTCTAATATTTTTCGTTGTCATATTTTTAGAAAAGCTTCATGTATTATTTTTTACTTGTTCTTTATCAATATTCTCATAAAGTCCTATCATTTATAAACAAGGTTTCTTGTATATTTTTTTAATGACCATAATTTCCTTGTGATAGTTAAATGCCAAAGACAATCGAACTGAGTTGAGAAAGTTCTAATCACCCTGATCAAATGAATTGTTGTTTTCAAGACTTGCACTGTATTTAATTAGTTCAATATATTTGACAGTACACTATTATTGTTAATTGTACAGTCCTTAATTTTATGTATAATATTGTCACTTAATATTCTGAAAAATGAGAGTAAAAATAAGCGGCATGTTTTCTTCGTTTTTTAACTTACACCTTACTGCCTGCAGTGCATCTTCTCCCCCATTTAATACTCCAAAATCGGATAATCTGGTTTCTTTCTTCAATATTTTAGCACAGTGGTGGTACCCTATCCATTCAAAGTATTCCATTATGATAGCATTTGTAGAAAGATCTTCTCCTTTTGGGACACTTTGGTGTTCAGATAGTCTTTGGGATAGCAGCTTGAGCACAGTCGACCGCACTTTAGTATGCACACTACAGTTCTTCGATGGTTGTCTGGAGACTGGACTAGGATCTGTTGGAGGAGCCATCAGTTATTTCAATTGACTCACTGGTGTCCTTAGTTCGACTAACTTCCAAATACAAATATGACACTTTCCACGCAAAATCAAACGTTGCCACGGCAACGAACTGTGTAGTGCTGCCACCTTACGAAGAAAACTAATACTCTTTTCGTTGGTTTGAACCTTTGATTTTGACTTTTTTCGCACTGATTCACGTATTCGCATGATTCGCCTGCGCAGGGGAGCCCACCATTATCGCGTTGAACACGGAACAACAAAATAAGGGTGTGTGGGTTGGAGTGTTTGATGATTGGCAGGATGTCGTCCCGCCGCTTTTCCCCCCACCCACCCCACCCCCGCAGTGCCGGTGAGTGACGTCACAAGTGTAGCAGTAGCATGCTGCCGCCCAAGGCAGCAGCAGTGGTCGTCCCGTTATCCCCACCCTCACTCTCCCGCCTTCCAGAAGCGCGCCAAAACAGACACTCCCATCTAAGAATTTTGCTTTAAACAATTTCCCCGAGGTGCGCAACAATATTTAAAACAGACAGATAATTTTTAGGTTATCTGAGTGATCTATTTCCTTGTTTCTTCGTGCGCTAAGAGAAAATGTTGCTCCTGTGACACCTGGCCACGTGCAGTGCACCGTCCCTCGGCCATTGTTTGGAACTACGAGACGAAGCGAAGCGAACGACGACCCAACACCCAAGCGATGGAGGCCTAGTATTATCGATTAAAAATAGCTGTCAGACGAAAAGTATTCCGCCTCTGTCGGCTTGGACATTTGCGTCAAGATTTCGTCGTGCCGAACTAGTTCGTGGCCCGTGGTCGGTGTCTTCGTTCTGTGTAGGACTCGAGGTTTATCCGCGGTGAAGGGAGACGGATCTGCCCGGGAGTACACGCGTCACAGCCACAATAGGCCCAAGCCGTACCAAGCCTGAGCGTGCCAACAGTGTGCGGCAAGTAACAAGTGGGAGGAGTGGACGTGCTTCTTGTCGCCGGCATTGCGTTCGACCAAAATATGAATGGCGATATGATGGTGGGCATCAAGCGTGGTCCTGAAGAGTTTCGCAGCAACACCAGCAATGGCTCGGGTCCGAATTCGACGGATAGCGACTCGAAGAAGATGAAGCTGGAGGGCAAGCCCTCCCGTGTCATTCACGTAGGCAACATTCCGCACGACACAACAGATGCCGAAGTTGTGCTTCTGGGTGTGCCTTTCGGCCGTGTGACCAACGTGTTGGTGCTTCGAAGCAAGAATCAAGCTTTTCTGGAGATGGCCGATGAAACAGCTGCGTCAAATCTAGTGCAGAAATATTCCCAGACCCAACCTCAGATCCGTGGGCGGGCGGTGTACACACAGTTCTCCAACCACCGTGAGCTCAAGACTGACAGTCCCTCTAACGCTCTCTTGAGCCAAGGAGTTCAGCAGGCTATAATTGCAGGAAATGGGATTGAATCTGGTGCCGACAATGTTAATACAGTTCTACGAGTCATTATTGACAATATGATTTGTCCGGTGACGCTTGATGTTCTGCACCAGATATTTTCTCGCTGTGGAAAGGTGCTTAAAATAGTTACTTTTACCAAGAATAATACTTTCCAAGCATTGATCCAGTTTTCCTCGGATCGTGAGGCGCAGGCAGCCAAAGTCAGTCTTGATGGTCAAAATATTTACCATGCCTGCTGCACTCTCCGCATTGATTTCTCTAAGATGAGTAACCTCAATGTTAAATTCAATAATGAAAAGAGCAGAGATTTCACCAACCCCACCCTGCCAGCTGGAGAAGGTATGGATAATGTGAACCCCAACAGTTTGTCAGGAGCTGCAGGTCTTCTGGGAGCACCATTTAGTGTTGGTTTAGGAGGCCAACTGAATGGGGCTAATGGCTCTCCACTGGCTGGTGTTGGGTCAAGCCTGTCCCTGCTAGGAGGTTTTGCTCTGCCGACTAACAATGCCACTGCAACACCTGTTCTACTTGTCACCAGCTTGGACGAGCACACTGTCACCCCAGACCATCTGTTTACCTTGTTTGGTGTGTATGGTCATGTATTACGTGTGAAGATTCTGTACAGCAAGAAAGACTGTGCTTTAGTTCAGATGGCTGATCCCAGTCAAGCACAGAATGCTCTGACGCATTTGGACAAGATCCGTGTGTTTGGAAAGCAAATTCATGTGATGCCTAGCAAGTACCTTTCAGTTCAACTTCCAAGAGACGGCCAGCCAGATGCGGAGCTGACAAAGGACTTCACAGCATCCCCAAGACACAGATTCAAGCAGCATAATTCAAAGAATTACCAAAATTGTCATCCACCTACCCAGGTGCTTCATCTGTCGAATATTCCGCCAAGTGCTACTGAGGAAACTCTAAAGGAAGAGTTCACAAACCATGGGTTTGATGTAAAGGCCTTCAAGTTCTTCCCTAAGGACCACAAAATGGCCCTTATTCAGTTACCTACAGTTGAAGATGCGGTAGATGCTCTTATCAAAATGCACGACTTCATGTTTGAAGGTAACAACATAAGGGTATCATTCTCTAAGTCACGTATTTAAAGTGATTTATTGGGACAGGGTCAGAGTATTTTATTTTAACTTAAGCTAAAATTCTCTGTATAAAGTTACTGCCTTGTAGCACTACAAAATTTACCTGGCTGACAAATGTTTTGACTGACTTCTGTTTGAGCGGCTTTTGGCTGTTGAAGACTTTATACTTGCCTTTCTGCTTTGTATGACAAGTTTGATTGTGATTAACATCTTAAATATCATTTGTAGTTTAAGATGTTTCAGTTTTTTTATGCCCATGGTAATATTCATCAAATCTAAATGTCTTAACTAAAGGTATAGCTTTTTCACAAATATTCTATGTTTGCACTGATATGAAGCAGTAGAGGCTGTTACGGGCACAATCCAGACTGATCTTAATAGACTCTGCTGCTACTGCTGTGCAACTTTATTGTTGTATGATTGGGCACATCAGCACATGCAGTAATTTATACATTATTTTTAACATTGTCATACATATCCTTAGTTCCTTTAAGATTTGTAGTAGCTTGCATGACCCTGTCCCTAAGTGTTTTTCAGGTTATTATTATGTTAAGGTCTTTATTTTAGTGAAGCTGTCTAGTTTTCAGTTTCTGGTGAGTTGATAAGACTAGTGGAATATGTGTGGAATTAGGACTCAACTTGTTTTGTATTATATTATACCTATATTTAGCAATTGGCAAACTAAGTACCTTATTAGGGAATAGTTTCCCTTGCTCTAAAATTTGGTGTGTTCAATAGATTGCGATCTCCATGTGGTCTGATTTCAAATCCTATTAGCAACTGAGTGCAGACCAGAATATATTCCAATAACTTGTACATACAGATTGCTGTAATAGCTGCTCCTCTGTGAGCTGTTAATTGTTGTCAGTTTTTATTTGCCCCATTCTCATTCCAAGATGGCCGATAATTGGCTGCTATGATTTTAATGCCATATGTTCATTGAAACTCAGAGCATGAAATATTGTGAAATGGTAAAATCTGCCAAATACACTTATCAGTGAATCATTCTGGCGGCTGTGACTGAAAGACTCAAACCTGTTTAAATGGCTTGACATTTTTGACTTGCACTTAAGGCAAGGTACCGATGCAGAGAGGGGGCCAATGAAAATGGATAACCATTCATTCTGTGGTTGAGCCCAACTTTTACTTGCAGTTGGTGTTTCAGCTGACCTCAGTACAAAACTTGAGTGCATGGTTGCATTTTGTGTGAATCTGTGCGAATTGGCTGGGCAAAAATGCAGGCATTTGTATTGCCATTTATCCCTGCTGTCCAAATTATTTTCTTACATGAACTTCTTGGAGATTGTTCACTTTTTTTTTCTTGTGCCGTGGAAATGTAGGATCAGATGTCTTAATGTCTTCTTTTCTTTCTTTTTTCTTGAAACTTTATTTTCTTGTTTAAATCCTCAGGAATCTAATTAAGTCCCAATTTTTTTACCGGGAAGTCTTAGTTTATGCTCAGTGATACAAGTGATGCTAGAAATTTTTTACTATCTCAGCAGAGTGTTGCTAGAACTCCCATTTAGCTTCATCCTTAACAGAGAACACAAAATCTTTCCTGAATATATATAAATATAGCTTCATGATTATTCTGCAACTTAGTTATTTTTTTATTGGCTTTGTACTTTTCTCTGAAAAGTATTAAATTTACAAAGTACCACGTATTTATGGTACAAATATAATGTTAAGATTTTCTAAATTTTTGTTACTTTTATGGTATTGACATATCCTCAAGCCTTGGTGCGGAACATGTGTTGGTGTTATTCGGTGTGTTATTTAGACTTGGTGAGCAATTCTGTATTGCTTTGGATTTGGAGGGTATTTTTATTTATTAGATTAGTAAAGCAGCGCTTAAGGCCAACTTTTTTTGTTGAGATACTTGCTTTGTTTCTTTCTTGTTTCATATTTTAAAATTGTTTTTGAATGTGTCGATAATAGAAAACTTAACTGTGAAGAGTGACCTCTTGTTCCTTCATCGGAAAGTTGACCTTCAGCTCTGTAACGGAGAATGTAGGACTTTATAAGTATTTTTCGTTTAAAATTTGTGTTTTTATCTTCATTATTTTGTGTGTGTTCCATCTTTTTGTCTATTGAACACTAATTAAATCCACCTTATTTAATTTCTTCAATTTCACACTATGTTGATGCTTGTTTCCCTCTTGCCCGATTATTCCACAAGTGTACATTTAATGATCTGCCTTTTCTTGCATTGTTACCTACATTTTGTGTACTGTTTTGATGGGAGAATCACCTGAATTTATGTGGCGTTTCCTCCTGTGCAATCGTTTTAAGTCAAATATTCTTTAAATGTAAGTTATTTGGTTTGTTTTCCTTATGTGAGGATTGTGAAGGTGTTATTTCTTGTTACTGTTTCCCTACATTCTCTTGTATATCAGCAGTGGACCATTAGGATATTTAGGCCTATGAAGTATTTAAAGTGGCGACTATCTGGTAGCTTAGCAGCTTGTAGCATTCTCTTTTTTACGGAAGTGTTTTGAAAGCATAGGACCATTGTTGCCAATCAGTGTTGTCTACATGATGTGAGTGTTTTGTTGCCTTAGCAGCTGAATGGCTACAGTAGACCAATGGGTGTGGTTGTGCTTAATTATACAGTATTATGAGGAATAATGGGATGGATAGAAAATCAAAAACTTCTCATGGTATAAGATAAATATTATTCAGTTTGGCCAAATCTTTATTGACACAAATCATATTATATTATGTATTGTATATTAGTGTAGTATTGGATTATCCATATCTTTTGCTTTAGTGATGTTCTCGGCTAATGGTCATTAATTTAAATTATTTTGTTGGATGTATAGATATATATATATGTAGATGACCTAAATTATACTAAAACTCATTACCATTGTTCTATTTACTTTGTCTTATTAAGCCGGTAAATTGGTGGCAACTTTGTGGTCTTTTCAGTTAAGTGTGTCCTGCTTCCAATCTTGTCTCTGATCCTTGCTTTCTTGTTTCATGAAAACTATGACCTCTATCTCTCTCTCCCTCCCTCCCTCTGTCTGTCATACTTTAGGACCGTTCACATTTTCCAGTACGTACCAATCTTTTTGTTTGTTTTTTGGTCTTTTTGCGGTTTTGAAGAGAAATAATGCACAATGTAAAATGAAAATTGAATAAATGTCTGAACTAAGTCTTGTCTTGCTGTCTTCTGTCTTCCTATCTGTCTATTCTTTTCCAGCTTTTCCATTTACATCTACTCTTGACTTCATATATGGCCTAACCATCCTTCTCTGGTCATTTACCTCCATACCTGTTCTAATTCTTCACATTGGGAGGTTTTATAATTTGAAGTATATTTTTTTTACTCATTTCTGTTCATTTTGAGCTATTGCCCCTGTCTGTGATATTTTGACTCCCAACATTTCACCTTTTATTTACAAATTCATAGAGACTTAAATTAGAGATGTTTTAAGATAACTGTTTAATTGAAACTTAAATGGGATGAAGGTTGGTGAATTTTCCCATCAATGATCTTAAATGATTCATATGAGAGTTGGATGGTTTCTGAAGTTGCTCTTTTTCCTTTGTTTGGCATATTCCTTAATTCTGTGTTTACTTCTCTGCCCTTTCATCTTTCTCTCTCTTTGTCTGAGTCTATCATAGTTTCTTATTTGAATTATGTCGAATTAAGAATAGGATTGATTTCTATGCAGAGTAAATTGTCTTCATTTCTTGCCACTTTGATTTTTAACTGCTGCTTGTTTACATAAGATCACAGGCTGTGGTTTGTAAGGCTTCCTCGCTATTTATTATTATGTGAGTGAGGTGTTCTTCTGAGTAGATTTAGTTATGGAGCATAAACCTTTGGCTGTGGGTGAGTGAGAGAGACAGGGTCATCCCTCCTTTTTTTTCTCCTTTTTTTAAAAAATAAATTTTGGAAAGTATATTTTTTACTTATATTTATAGACATCAAAGATATTAGCGAATAAAAAGACTCTAGAGCTGAAACGTAAAAACAATCAGGAACTCTAGGATCAGGGTTCCAAGATCCTGAGACAGGATTTCCCTCCCCACCTCCCTCTTTTGTTATACTTTTCATTTGTAATCTCCTGTGATGCTTTTTTGAGGAGCTGAAGACTGTTAATAAAGATGCACTCTAGCTGCAGAGTGCTTAATCAGAGCAATTTGTGGTCCTTGGTTGTACCATTAAACTCAACCTCTACTCCTGCACTTGAATGAGTCTGTTTACAGAAATAGAACAAACAATTTTGAGTTCCCATATACTGTCTCCGTGCTGTATTTATGGTATTATTTATTTTATACTCCAAAGCCTCTCATTTGAACCAAGTTAAAAACTGAAGAAACTCAAAAAGCAGTTTACATCAAATGTCAACTGCCTCTATTATGAGCATTTGACACATTTCTGTGTACAGTTCGGCACATCAGTACATATGCAAGGTACAACATCAGGCATTTTTACTTAAATAGAGATCTATGAAAACTTCTACTTTTACCTTCTTGTCCATGTACACAGAAGGCAAATAAGGTATCACATAGACGTAGCACCAACCTGTTTTGAAGGTTGCAGCAATTTACATTCCTCCCTTGTCAGAAACACAGCAATAAACAATTATGCACTGACAGGAAGTGAGATTTCATCAGAATTTAAAACATGCATTCTAAGGTTAACAAACTTCAGATGCCCTTGAAAATATTAACACAAATGATGTCTACTCACCAAAGAGAAAATGAGCATGTCAACAAAGTTACAGAATTTTTAACTCTGTAGTTAAGGTATAATAGCATCCTTCCTCATACACAATTGGATTAAAACAATGATTCATTGGAAACCTACAATTAGCAACCACAGGCTATGGTCGAGGTGAAGAAAAAAGTTCATGCTGTTGCCAGGTACTCAAACACAAAATATACATACAAAGCTATAAGTTAAGTGAGTCGCACACTAGACAATTTTTCTATAAATATTTCGTCAGCACTAAAATATAGTATAGTCAAAATTTGTGGAAATACATTGAAAATGGTCTTTCAGGATTATAGCTCTTATTTACAGTAATTAAATTTGTATTTATAATTATAAAAAAAAATTGACACCAATCAATAATTAAAACAAAGCGCCAAAACAGAAGGAGCACTTCATTCTATTGCCGAGAGTTATAATTTTGGCTGTTGCCTCTGTAATTATTTCCACCTCTAACGTTGCCGCCCCTGTGCGATCCTGACCCTCTGTTAGAAGAAGGATATCCTCCTGAATTTGAAGATTGATATCCACCCCTGTTAGATGACTGGTAGCCACCTCTATTTGAGGAGCTGTAACCACCTTGATTAGAGGACTGGTAACCTGAAGACTGATACCCTCCACCAGAGCCATAACCGGAGCTGGGTGGCTGGTAGCCGCCACGGCTGGAGCTCTGATAAGATGGATAAGCCGATTGAGATCCAGAGTGTTGGCTCTGCCAACCAGACTGGTGGCTCTGCCCACCCCGGTAACCCTGCCCTCCCCTATGACCTTGTGATCCATTGCCCTGCTGATAATTTCTACCACCAGAGTAGCCACCAGAAGAGTGACCCCGATGGCCTCCATAACCACCTCTGCCGCCTCCTGAAAATAAATGATTGGGTTTAGCAAAATATGAGAGAACGACTGGTATGTAGAGGAAGGCATGCGGTGCACAAAGATGTCACCTACCTGACATGGGTGGAGGCACATTACTGTAGTGGCCACCAGACCCCCCTCCCCCTCTACCTCCCCTGGGTACATGGTGACCCAACATGCGGTGGCCTGCCTCATTCAGAGACCCTTGGTAAGTTCTAGGTCCCATTCCAATATGTTGCTTCCAGTTGCCAACGTCACGATTCTGTTCACCAGGCTTGAGAACACGAGGTGGCTCAATGGCTCCCGGAAGACGTTTTGCAGGATAAATGAAACCATCTGGATATTGAGGATCTCGGTATCGAACACAAATGACTGCGTTTTGGCGAAGAACAGGCAGTCCCATCACAGGAGAATCTAGAGATGCACCCTAAACCAAAAAAGTTCTATAAGAATGTAACCAATTATTAAAATGATTGAAACAAATTATTGGACCACCGTTCAATACCTCCTTGCAGTTGTCTTCAGCAAGCAACACTCTACCCTGCATCCCATCAATTTGGACATCTGTCTCAATGTCAGGATCTACTCCATTCTCATACAAACCCCTGAAAAACGAGTATTTTTCATGTTGCTGAGGTATATACAGCCTATCATCGCCACGAATGTTTCGTTTGATTTCAGCTGGAGTTAAAAGAGGATAATACTCCTTTAAAGCCTTGTGCAGTCTTTTTTCTTCCACAAATGGAAGAAGAGCAACTCCCTAAAATTAGGGGGGGGGGAAAATCAAAATTTAGTTAATAAAAGCAGAATTTTAAGCCAACTCAACATTAGCAACCGAAATGCTAAATTACCTGCCAAGCATATTTTTTTCCATTCAAATCAATTTTGAAGTCCTCAGGGTAAAAGTCTATGATTGGAGAATCAGGATCTGTCATGAGCTGGCCCCAAGGTTCAGGTACATGACTTCTACTAGCTGCAGGGAATACTCCCATGAGCTGCTCCAATGGTTTGAAAGGTTTTGTGTTCTTGGTATCAAATTTCTGTGAAACCTCAGCAACATTCACAAAATCTGATGCAAATGGTGCATAGTGGTAAGGAAAGTACCAGTCCCATGAAGCACAACCCTGAAATAATTTCAAAATTTGTGAAGGAGAACAAGAAATGAGCATGGTTGTTATGTACTGGTTGTTGCAACCAGTTTACCCTACCTGATAGTAATACTGCAAAACCCAACAAAGGCCACGAACATAATGATGTCCTACTTTAAACCGGAATTCTATATTCTCCTTGCTTACATCAAACTTTGACTCATAATATCGATCCTGAAAATGGAGAGAGTCAATGTATAAACTTAATGAGAAAACCAAGAGAATTCTGAGGACACAAAAGGTATACCTTAAAGCCGTCTTCCCACAGTCGAACTTCATCATTTGGATTTTCGTCTTCTTCGTTGTCATCCTCTCTCTTTCGTTTTTCTCCTCTTGCAGAGTCACTAGATTCGCCTGCTGGCTTCAGAAGGGCCTGAAGGCCTGCATTGGCATCAGCATTAATAAGGTTCCTATCTACATTGCTAGGACCACTGTCAGTAGACATTCCTACATGGAGCAAGGTAGTTAAGTTAGGTTTCAGTAAAAGCTTGCAGTGCATTTGGGAACAAAAGCATGTTTTAAAGATTCGGCAGATTGGGAAAAATATATACCCTGACGTCTCATTTGGAATGCTTCTTGCCTGACATTTTGGATAGGATCAACAACAGCTCCTCTTCCTAGAGGTGTAGGGGCAAACTGACCACCAGGCACCCATTTTGGCCTGTGGTCACGGAATCTTTTCATTCTCTCATTTTTTGCTTTCATGCGTGCCCTAAAGGAAAAAAAAACTTCAATTTTTGAAGATTTGAAAAATATACAGACAATATTTGTCCAAGAAGTGGCACTAACTTGAAGGCTATTTCATCTTGTTGACGACGTTTGAATATTTCATCTTCTACATCACCAAGGTCTGCCATAATCAATTGGACACGATCCAGATAAACTTCACCACTATTAGTGAGCCAGCCATTTGTCTTGTAGACAGTTTTCTTGTACAATGTGACTAAGCGATCAATTGCATTTTCCCTGGAGATACATAGTAATATAATTATTAAAGATACAATTGGGATGCCAATTCTAAGGATAAAAATTTTCAAAACCGACCTAATTTCTAGAGACGGTAAATGGGGCAAGAAATCATTCCCCACAAAAAAACACATGAACACCCAATCATCAATAGCTCTTTCAAAATCATACTTGAAAGGCAAGTTAGGCATGGCCAACTCTCTTTCCAAATATTCACGGAGAACACTTAAGCGCACAAATATGAACTCTTGTTCAGAGCCATATGTTTTAGCACTGCTTGCAGCATTTGCTTCAGTACCCTGGCATTCTTTCATCTCATGACCAAGCTGCAACACAAGGGTCCAAAATCAAATTTAATATGTTCTCAAGAGCGGGACAGTGATGAACAGCTTTAATGTATTCTGAAAAGACATACCTGTCCACAAATATCACATGGTCTTGGCTGATTAGGTTTGAACTCCTCCCTGATGATTGTAAAGTTCACTTCATGAGTGGCAAGACCCAACATGATTAAATCTGCATCAGCTCCACACAATACATGATGAGTGTTTGGGTCATGATCTGGCTGGGCACGTTGTTTCCTGATATAATCCATAATTTTATGTTCTCCTTCACCTGGCACATTGGCATCTGAGAGTATAACCTAATAACCAAAATATCAAGCATTTTAGGACAGAGGCACATTTTTATGGTAAAAATTAATTATATTCAAACATCTCCGAATAAGGTACCTTAATGTCTTTCCACCCTGGATCACTATTCAGACGAGCATGCACATAATAATGCAAGCACGCAGAGAGCCGAGCCATGAATGGGGTTCCTGGAGTGATGCAGTTACTATCAAAATGTTCTCCTTTAGGCTTCTCTGGAGGAAGATAAGCTCCTTTATCAGCAAGCTCTTTGCGTATGCGGGCAATCTCATCAATTTTTTCTGAAGTTTCCTTGGATGATCGGAATCTTCTTGATCTCTGTTGATTCATTTTAGCTCTTGGGGCAACCCCATCAATAGCCATGTACAAGACTTTCCTCGGACGGACAATCCTGTTGAAATTCAAAGAAACATCATGGTGATATAACGCTCACTAAGCTATTTTGAGACATAAATACACCTTTAGGCAACTTTACCTGAATAAACGATCAATACATTCAAAAATAGCCACCATCATTTCATCCTCATTTTTCGGAGCAGGTCTATCTTCAGGATGAGTACAAGGGTGGATTATTCCATTCATGTCTAGGTACAGATTATCAAACTCAACTCCATTAGGATTTGGCTGTGATGCGTCAACTGTTTTAACATTGCCGTCAAAATCTTTTCCTTTTTCTTCCACACAGGGCACAACAACGGATGGATATTTCCTCGTCAACCAACGGAAAAATGCTGGGACTCCCATGGTTGCTGAAAAGAGACGGGATCAGTGATAAGTACTGTAGGTCGCTTGGCAAACGAATCCAGCTTAATTTGTAGGTTATGATGCCCTTGGGAAAGCAGACGAAAGCATCTCAAGCTCAACTTAAAACGTATCACGAAGCAACGCAGAAGGACTAGGATCAATTACATTCAATTTATTGAAATCAAAATTGAGTGGTTCGCATGGACTTCAATTACAACATTAGCTTTCAGAAATTGAACTTTCAGGTTGCTCCACCAGAAGGCGAGCCGGCATTTATGAGGTATTATAACGTACCAAGTCAATCAATCTGATGCACCGTGGACGTCGATTAACACGAGAAGAAAATTTTGAAACTTGATATGTAAGGGGTTTCTCAATTTGTAACTTGAATAAAACTTTACTTAGGTAATAAGCATCGTGTTTTTGTTGACGCGAGAAAGCGGCGTGCGTACGTGCGTGCGTGTGTGTGCTAGTGTGTGTTTGTGTGTGTGTACGCGACGCCGTGGCGTTACTGTTGGCGATCTTGCTTCGTGTTCTTCTCTCATTTGTCCCTTTTTGTGGATGAATGTAAGTGGAAGTAATCTATACCGTTCTATTTAATTCTTGATTTGTCCTTGGAACCCCTACATTATTGCATTTCTCAGGAAAAGAAGAAAACAAGAGACGGTTGGCAACACTGGTGTCGAAGGTGGCCTGTTTGAAACAGCCCGCAGAAGTAGCAACTCCAAGGTGGATTAAAGATTGGTAATTTGTTCCAGGTACGTCAAAAGGTTTAAAGGATTAAATCACTGTCGTTTGATGTTTTTTTTTTGAAACATTTTATTTAACCTAGAGTTTAACTTATAAAATCACATTTTCACGTTCCCATCAACACAACACACAGTAAAGCAGAAAAATCATGGCTGGATAGCCGCAGACAACGGAACGGAACAGGGACCCCGTTTCAATAATTTTGGCCTTGTAACCGTCAGCCGACCGGGCGGCGGAAGGGGAAGGGCCTCCGGTGCCTCCGGCCTGCGTTCATTCCGTGAGTCGGACGACGGGCAACACCGGCGGTTTGACGACTCAAGGGCAGACACCCAACCGGTCAGTCGTAGAACGACTGCACGCTTAACGACTAGATGTAACATTTGTAACATAAACTGACATAACAAACAAGTATTTTTTTACACGGTATTTAGTTTGTTTTCCTGTTTTTTGGAGTCAGGGTCAGCAATCATTGGGAAAGAGCCACCTCACCAACAAATCACATTTGCTCTGTTATATGTACACACGAAATAAACCCCCTTTAGTGTCTTCGAGGACAGAATTTTCTCATAGACGCTTAAAAACCATATATAAATTTCATCTTATAAAAAAACCTTATGCCATACAATGCTTAGTCTGAAAATGTCGCGTCATTGCATAACATAGCGCACACCCATCATAATTAACAATTAGTTTTTATTATTTTTAGAAATTAAGAGCAGAAATTCGGCTTGTATTTATGCAGTCATTCAGCGCTTTTGCGCTTATACTGGGGCACGAGATCATACAACGCATTTTCTTTAAGAAATAATTTGTGTAGTAAATCTTGCAGAGACTTGACTGCTGCTGCAGCAGTGGCAGATTTCGATGAGCCCTTCGACCGTTTGCCGAGAGAAGGGCGCCTCCCTTTGCAGTTTGGAGCTGCGCCGCGCCTCGGCCCCAGTAGACTGATTCCGGAGTCCTTTTTCATCGCTCTGTCTCACTCGCACCTACACGGGGCCCTATAAGTGCGAGAGAGACAGAGACACAACAACGACTCTCGGAATCAGTCTGCAGTCCGCGAGGGCGTTGTGGGTTGTAAGTACGATCACAGCGTTGGTCTGGAGTCCGGCCTGGTCCGCTTGGCGCTCGGCGCGCTCAGTGTGCCAGCAGGCGCGGTATCCACAGCAGAGACATGCACACGGCGAGCCCTGTAGAAACAAAAACAGCGTTCAAAGTCTCGGTTAGCCCGGACGGACGCACCTTCGCTTCTCGAGCAACCCAGAAGCAGAGACACAGCCAGACCTGTGGCGGCCGCGGCGGGGGCGTGGGCGGTGGCGCCACTGTACTGCGCGAGCCGCTCGTTGCCGGGCCTGGCGTCGCTCAGGATGGCCGTGAAGGAGGAGTCGCTGTGCGGCAGGTCCGCGACGAACGACTTGCAGCGCAGCTCGGCGTGGTTCCCCTTGAAGATCTCGGACTCGACCGGCAGCCGCAGCGCCAGCCAGTTGGGGTGGCGGAGCGCGCGGGCGGGTCGGCGCCGTGGGTCGGCGCCACCAGGTTGCGGTGGTCCAGCTGCGGAGGACTCGAGTTTCAATCCAAAGACGGGAAAGCACTCGGTGCCGCCCGATCCCGAGTGGCGACGTGCCACAGTGGGCCAGAAGACCGGTGGAGCGGCCAAAATTCGAGACGCGTTTTGAGCTCCAGAGTCGCTAAATGGGACTCGAACCGACCATGTGACCCCACCAATGGATAGCTCTCCGAACGAGGAATCCGTTGGTGGGGTCACACGGTCGGTTGGTGTCCCATTTAGCGACTCTGGAGCTCAAAACGCGTCTCGAATTTTGGCCGCTCCACCGGTCTTCTGGCCCACTGTGCGTGCGCGCCTGCCGGGTAGGCAACCGTGGGGCTGTGCGGACGGCCGCGCTGCCCGGGATGCCTACCCACCAGGCTGCCCATTGCCATTACCATTACGGGCCAGACCACAACTGACGCTCCTCCCTCTCCGCTCTCACTGCTCTCACCTCCACTCCGTTGAGGTACCACCGCAGCGTGGCCCTGGGGACGGCCGGCCCGATGCTGCAGTTGGCGACGATGGTCTGGCCGGGCACGTAGGCGCTGTCCAGACCGGAGATGTGCGGGCCTTTCGGCGGCATGGCTACCAAAGGAGACAGAGACAGAGCGAGTCAGTGCGCCGCGCTACCGGCATCGGCCTTCCCCGCCTCCCCACGGACAGTAGACTGACTCCTACAGTCGGTTTCCTCGCTGTCTCTCTCACACATACGGGGTGCTCATGAGTGCGAGAGAGACAGAGCGACAAAAACGATTCTAGGAGTGTCTGCCGCGGAGGGCGCGGTACTTGGAACTCACCCACGACGTTGAGGCGGGCGCTGCTGACGGCCGTGAGGAACGTGGGCGCGTCCACGCTCACCTCGCACGTGTACTCGCCGGCGGTGTCGAAGGACACGTTGGACAGCCGCAGCGTGGTGTCGTTGCTCTGCGCCACCTGTCCACATTGCCACCGGCTCGTCATCGGATGCCCGGAAGAGCAGGGGCGCACAGTGGGCCAGAAGGCCGGTGGCGGCGGCCAAAATTCTGGACGCAATTTGAGCTCCAGAGTCGCTAAATGGGACTCGAACCGAACGTGTGGCCCCCACCAATGGATTGCTCTCCGAACGAGGAATTCATTGGTGGGGTCACACGTTCGGTTCGAGTCCTGATTAGCGACGCTGGAGCTCAAAACGCGTCTAGAGTTTTGGCCGCCTCCACCGGTCTTCTGGCCCACTGTGGGTGGTTTTCAGCCGCCTGACTGCGAAGGGCCGCCTCGTCCGCTCCGTCTCTGTCGCACATGGGGTGCGACCGCGGGTGCGACAGAGACGGAGCGGCGAGGCGGCAGGGGGCGCGTACGCGTTGCTACTCACGTCCACGTGCACGCCGTTCATGGTGAAGGTGCGGATGTTGGGCGCCTCGTCCTTGAGGTAGCGGTAGAACTCCTGCCGGTTGCGGTACCACTTGACGGAGTACAGCGGCTCGCCCTGCGCGTCGTACTGGCACGACAGCACGGCGGGCTGGTGCAGCTGCGTCCACGCCGGCACCCGCAGCGCGCGGATCAGCAGGGCGCCGCAGTCTGGAAGCAGCCGAAGAAGGCCGGGCTTCAGGAGGACGTCAGACAGGGGTGGCTGCAAGGCACAAGGCCCGCGAGGGGCGCATGTTGGCAACTCCGCGACGCCGCTGGGGAGGTCTGGGAGGTCTAGCAGGCCCTCTAGCTATAGACGCAGCCCCCCATCTCCCTCTCTCTCTCTTTCTCTCTCCCTCCCTCCACAGTTCTTCTCTTCCCCGCCAATTTCCGGTGCACTAAAACGTGTGCCCTGGTAACGCCACCGCCCGGACCTCCCCGCGCAGCCCGCGCCACGCGCCCTCCCTCCCCTCCGACGACTCGTGCCCCATCCCCTGCCTTCGGCACACACACACACACACACACACACGAACACGCACGCAGAGCGCGGAGAGGCGAGGGAATCAGGAGGCCTGAGACTGCTTCTGGACTGCTTGCTGGCCAGCCTAGGCCTGCTCGGCTTGGGGGTGGCCGATGTACGATTCCCCGGGCGGTCGTCCGCGGAGCGACGCGGAGTCCCCACCAGCCGGGATAGGGTCATTGCGACGAGCCCGCGTCCCGCCGGCCCGCCGGGCGCTGGGGCGGCGCGCCGCTTGGAGCGACTTGCCGCGCCGAAGTGCCTGCTGCTGCCCATCGCTGCCTCGGCTGCCCGCGGTGTGAGCTCTGCTCTGCGGCGCAGGCAGGAAAGAATGGCTCTGCCGTCTGATTCCGAGCACTGCTTTCGTCGCTCTGTCTCTCTCGCACTCATGGGGCGGTCCGTACGGGTGCGAGAGAGACAGAGCGACGAAGCAGTGTTCTGAATCAGACGGCTGCGAAGCGGCGAAGGCAGGCCCAGACGCACGCACAGTGCGGGGCAGGGCTTGACAGGCTTGACCAGCGCCTCAACGAGTCTCAAGCTCGACCGGTGGCGCGCCTCCGCCCCTTCCCTACCCCTGCGCTCTTTCAGGCCTTCGCCGCGCGGACGGCCATATTTTCTGGAGGCACGTTCGCGCCTGGGCGGCGACGTGGCAGGGGCAAGGGGATGGACTTGTTGGGGGTCATTGGCTGGTAAAGGCTGTACGGCCCCCCACGGAGCGACCAGGCGGCCGGGGCCGAGCGCTGGGCTGGGCCGGCTGGAGGCCTGCCGGTGCCGGACCGAGTGTCCGAGTCCAGCGGGGCGGCTTTGGCGTTGCCGCTCGCTTTCAGGGATTTCGCAGGGATCGGCAGGAAAGAAGGGCGAGCGAGCAGAAAGGAGGCCCGGCGGGCCGGCCGGCCGCCGAGCCATTCAGAAAGAGTCGTTTCATCGCTCTGTCTCTGTCGCACTCATGGGGCTTTCCATGGGGGTGCGAGGGAGACAGACAAACCGTTCTTCTGAATCGGCCGGCAGCACTTCCTGCCGACCGCCACGCCGCTGCCGCTCCACTCCACTCCACTGCGAGCTGCAAGTCTGCGAGTGCGAGTGCGAGGGCAGAAGCACGCCGTCTCCGTCCCTCCGCGGCCGGGCCGGCCCCGACGTGCGAATCGTGCCGGCTGACGTCGCCGGGTCTTGAGCGGCCCGGCGGGCCTCATGCTCCACGGCGGCGTGGTCGCGCGGGTCAATTCCGACTGCCGCCGCCCGACGACTACTCACAAGAAAACAAATTGAAATTATCAAGAAGGGGGAGCGCAGCCCAATTCTCCCTGTTTTTCAAGCCGGTTGGCAATCCAGGCGAACGCGTTTGTCATCGCGCTACTCTCTGCTCGCGTTTTCGCGTTTTCGCCGGCGGGGCAATCCCGTTTATTGCGCCTGGCCTTGGCCTGGACGGGGACGGAGAGGGACAGTCCTAACTGGCCAAGTCAACTCCCCCGCGGAGACGGCGGGCAGACGCACTCACTCACACACACGCACCCCCTCCCCGCTCACACACACGCACATACGAACACGCACACACGCAGACGTCCCCGGAAGCGTTGCCCGCCGCGTGGTATCATTAAGATATTAAAGGAGACCCGCCTTTTTCTGCCACGCCGGCCTGTTCGTTCGGCCTGTTCGGCCTGTTCGGCCTGTTCGTTCGGCCTGTTCGGCCGATTCGCCGCCATGAGCGGCCGGCGTCGTCGGCCCTTCGGAGCGGGAGCGCACAGTAGACTGGGAGTCCTTCTCGTCGCTCTGTCTCTCTCGCACCCAGGCGGGACGCTCGATTGGAGCGAGAGAGACCGCGCGGCGAAAAGGACTCTCGCAATGAGTCTGCTGCTGCCCGCCAACGCCAACGCGTCGGCGGCCGAGTGGCGAGGCGACAACGGTGAAGGCCGACGCGGGCAGCGCAGCGCGGTGCGGCGTGGGCCGGATGTGCGAGATGTGCGTTGCCAGGCGGACTGCGGCGTGCACTGCGAACTGCAGTGGAACCACTAGGGCCGCGTCGCCGCGTCCAGAGGGCGGACCGCAACTCTCGTCGTCCTCGCCAGCGTCGCCAGAGAGTCAGAGAGGACGGACGTCCCTACGGCACCACCACACTGACTCTGAACCGAACTTCGGCACGCCCCGAGTGCGAGAGAGACAGACCGACGAAACTGAGACAAGACACTGTTCGGAATGAGTCTGCCGGGTGACCGGAACCCGCCCTGCTTTGGGAAGCGGCCTCAGGCGGGACCACTCCGTCCTCGACGAGGACCCCGTTGGGGGAGGAGGAAGAGAAGGGTTGTCCTCGCCGCGGGAGCCGCAGCCGATACGTTTTAATCAACGCTTATCGCGTCGGCAAATACACCGCCGCCCTGCGCGCCCTGCGAGGGACGCGTCGCAGCGGTCGGCGTCCAGCCGGAGGTTACAATAACACACAAAAAGTAATTCCCTATCTTCCCCTTTTTTATGAGGCAGTGGCAGCTCGTAGCAGTCCCGCCACACACTTGTACAGCGCGCACCAACACATGCCGGGCCGTGGCGGCGGCCGCCCGGCTGATACGTCCAGCCAGCGCGTCCAGCGCGGCCGCGGCCTGGCGGCCTGGCTGGCAGTGATATGCGCGGCTGGTACGCGACACTGGTACACTGTACACTGGTACAGCGAGCTGGCTTTATTCGACTCACTGTCGCCCCTGCCCCTCCCGCCCCCTGTGGCTGCGGCGCGGACACGCGGACACCGACCTTGCTCTCGCCGCCGCGCTGCAGCAAAAAGAGGCGGACGACCGCGCCAAAAGCCAGCGAGCGGCGCGGGGGCGTGCAGCGTGCAGCAGTGTGGTGGACAACGGCGTCCCCGTCCCCACCCCCGCGTGCGGCGTGCGGCCCGGCGGCCGTTTGATATTGACTCGGAGCGTCTTCCTTCCATGGTGGAAAGCCATCGGCCGTCGCGGGGGATTTATCGATCTAATAAAGGATGGCCGCGCTGCCCCGCGGCTATGCAAGGGTGTGAGCGAGAGGGCAGGGCGGCCAGCACGGCCGGCACGGCCTGCAGGCCCAGCAGGGCACGGCCGGGGCACGGCAAAAAGAAAAAGGGAAAGAGGAGGGAGATCTGACGGCTGCCAGGCACTGCTGGTGGTTGCGCCGGTCATGAACCCTTCCCCTCCGTTTTTGCGCTCGCCGAGTGCATCATCACCGCGCGCTGTTTTCCCCCGCCCCTTCTGGAACGCCCCGCTTGCAAATGTGCCCGCACCGACGGGGCGCTCGAAGCACCGGTGATTTTGCAGTGCAGTCCGCGGCAGTCCGCCAGTGCACTTGTTAGACATTCGACATGACCACCCCCTTGCCGTCCTCGGCCAGCGCGTGCATGTGTGCGCTCTTGGCTTGAGGCCATTGGAACGACCAGAACGCACCTGGGGCTGGGGCGAGGGCTGGGCTGCTGGCTCGCATCACTGGAAGAGTCACCGCGATAAGAGCTTCACCCCTCCGTGCTTTTGCAGTGTGCCGCCAAACGGCCGGCCGGGGTTGTTCTTACTCTATCCGAAAGCCACCAGCCGCTAGCCATCGCTGGGCGTGGCAAAGGGGCCGAGGCGGGCCTTGCCTGGGCCTTGCCCTGCAGGGCAGACTGGCAAGCCAAAAAGAGGTGCGGCCTGCTGGCTGCCTGTCTGGCTGCCCGGCTGGGCCTCATCGCCAGCCGGGGAAGCTCTTAGCTGATTCAGGTAATTTGTCTGAAATCGCGCGGGGCAAGCCGCCGGCACCCTCGCCGCCACGGAAGGCTGGAAGGCTGGAGGGCGTCCATCAGCCTGCGGCTTCTTTGCCACCACAAGCTGCAAGGGGAAGGGGAAATGATGTCCCTGACCCGGTCAACGCCGTGGCGGAGGAGCGAAATGATTCGGCGCCGCCGACGTGGACGTCAAGTCGGAGCGAGCGGAGCGCAGTGGCCGAGCGGAGTGGCGACGCCAATGCCGCGACCCGCCGCCCCCCGCCCCGCCCCGCCCCGCCCCGCCCCGCCCGCCCGCACGATGTGCGATGTGTCTGTCTGTGGCTGGGCCGCTGGGCCGTGCCGCTGGGTGCCGAACTGGAGGAAGAACGTTCCATGCAACACACATGCCCTCCCCTCCTCCCCTCCCTCCCTACTCGACTTGATTCGATCAACTAAATTGTAGAGCCGGCGCAGTGCAGTGCCCCAGTGCAGCAGGCCCAGCAGGCCCAGCAGGCCTTGATGGGTGACGAAGGGCCAATCCCCCTCCCCTCCCCTCCCCCTTCCCCCTCGCACGTGCCTCCAATAGAAACAAAGGGGAGTCAGGTTCGGCCCCGTCGCGCCGCGCGTTCCTTCATTTCATCCAAAGGGTGGCGGGGCGCGGCGGCACTGATGAATTTTTCAGTGGAATTGGATGTCTTGTCCCTCGTTGCGCTGCAAACGCGTCTGCAAACGATGGCCGCGACGAGGAAATGAAGTAAGAAAGAAAAAAAGGGGGAAAGAAAAAGTTCATTAATTCCTGGATTGCCCGGCCGCGCGGCCCGCGCCCGAACTGACGGGCCGCGATTTGAGAAATCGCAGGACGCGCGTCTCGCCAGTTTCGCCCGCACGCCGAGAGGAAGCCGAGGAAAATGAAAAGTAAGGAAACGGAGCGGGCGGCGCGCGGCGGCGGCAGAGACTGGCAAC